TCAAGAGGTAGGTGACAGTCCTCTCAGGCACCTTTCATGAGAGGATTCAAAATACCACTGCCCTGAATGGGCGGTTTGCTCTACTAAATTAATTTCAATAAAGTAATTCTTAGTTTATTGAAATCACATTAAATCACAACCTCAGCCCAGGGCAGCACAGCAGAATGGGGCAGGAAAGAAAGGACTTTGTACATCGCAGACAGGATCTTGATACAAGAAAACAGAAGGCCTAACTCTTTCTTGGAGACTATTTAAGGATAATAGTAGGTAGGTCCCCAGGTTTCTGTAATGGTGTCGTCTTCAGTGTGAATACTGGAGGAATAGCTGGGAGACTCACATTTGGGAGAGGATCCCAAGTGTCCATAATACCTGGTGAGTCACCCCAGCTGGCACCCCTGGCAACTCCATGGACCAGTGTCACTAATCCTTTCCCTGGGGATATCAATTATTGCTGCAGTGAGGCTAACCATTGATATTGGAACTAATTGTCTTACAAAGGTCCTGTAAGGGAGGAAGCACCACTATCACCCTGAATGTCTGTGTTCCTCTAGGTTAAACACATTAAAATTTGACTTTAATTGCTCAATGAAAACTTTTAAATGCCTTCTATGGGAACATCCATTCTAAAATGTTAGACTTAGTGTGAAGAAGTCTTAGTGCCTGACCTGTTCCCAAATAGTATAAAAACTAACGAAAGGGGCAGAAGTGTTGTACATTTAGCAACTTGAAACTATTTCAGTATTAACCAATTGAAGATGTCAGTGGGCAGAAGAGCAACTCAGAGGAACAGGAGCCTAGCTGGAAAGCTAACCCCAGAGAAAGTTTTTTGCAGTACAAAGGATTCATTGAGCCCTGAAGGATGAGCAATATCGATATGGGCCAAGAAAGAGAAGGGACAGTTCCAAGCACAAGAAACAATAAGAAAGAAGGTATAATCTTGGGGGAAAGTAAGACACATGCATTTTGGCCTTAGTAACTATGTCTAGTAATGTTGGATGATGAGAGAGCAAGACAAAAAGTTATCTTCTTAAGCAATTGAGAAATGAATACTAGCGCTTTCAAGAGAATGCAGCTATCAGGGCAAGGCCAGCCACCAGGAACTGAGCATGCAACTTGGAAATGCAGTCTAGCTGTGAAGGTGAGAGAGACCACCTTGTCCATGGATGGCTCATGACTTAAGGACTTCCCCTCTTCTTCCTCTCTGGGCTCTAAGAGGAATTACCCCAGGCCTCAGAGGAGGAACCTAAGGGTTTCTGTGGTAGAGACAGTGAGAATGACATAAAGGTGTTGTCTCCCAGTTGTAATCTGGAAAAGGAACCAGAATGTCCATTACTCCGGGTACATCTGCTCATGCACACTGTCCCCTGACACTCACCAGAGCCTCAGTGGGACCCAGTGTCAGGGACACTAACACATTTCTGGGTTCATAGTGCCTAATACAGAGCAAGAGCCAGTGAGTGGTAAGGGGACTTCAATCACTGGTGTGCTCCTAGGGGTCTAAAGCACTAGAACAGTCAGATGTGAGCTTCTACAATTAGTTTTTTTTTTTTTTTTTTTTTTTTTTGGAGCGATTTTCTCTATGGGGCGCGTGCGCTCC